ATAAAGCTTTATTTCATCACAGTTCTGCTGTTTCATCTCCAGGTCTACATCTTCCCACCAAGTGAAACTGTTTCAGGTTCTCAGGGCAGGATCTTTGTTTTGTCTCCACCTCAACAGTGGCTACCCCATCACCAGCTGCTCTCCCAGCCCCACAGTGATCCCAGCCCCATAAGCTTCATTTCAATGCCAGCTCCGCCATTTCAGCTCCAGCTCTTCATCATCCAGTTGGAGCTGCTCCAGGTTCTCAGGGCAGGATCTTCAGTTCAGACAGTCCAGGTCTGTGACCTTTCAACTTCAGCCCCACAGTTGCTGCATCCCATCCCAACTCCAGTCTTCATCCCAGCAATCATTAATTATCCTGGTGATTTCAGCTCCAGCCCTTCTGTCCCTATTCCTGCCCCACAGTCACTATCCAAGCCCCAAAGCTGCTATCCCAGCGCCAGTGATTTCAGCTCCAGTCCCACAAGCTTTATTTCAACACCAGCTCTGCAGCATTTCAGCTCCAGCCCCACAGCTGCTATCCCAGTCCCACAGTGATTTCAGCTCCAGCCCCACAAGTTTTATTTCAATGCCAACTCTGCCATTTCAGCCCCAGCTCTGCATCATCCCTCCACTGTCAGTTGAGGCTGCTCCAGGTTCTCAGGGCAGGATCTTCATTTTGGCTCCAGCAGTGCCAAGGGATGTGTAAGGGATGGTTAAGCTCTATCCCTACAGCAGCTATGCCAGATCCAGTGACCATCCCAGTCCTACAGTGATTCCAGCTCCAGCCCCACAAGCTTTCAACGCCAGCTCTGCTGTTTTAGCCCCAGCAGCTCATCTTCCAACACTGTCAGGTGAAGCTGCTCCTGGGTTGCCACAGCATGATCTTTATTATGGCTCCAGCTCTGCTGTTTCAGCTCCAGCCTCATACTTGCTCTCCCAGCCCTACAGGCTTCATCCCAGCTCCAGTCTTCATCCCAGCACCAGTGATCCCAGCTCCAGTCCTTCTGTCCATATTCCTGCCCCACAGTCACTATCACAGTCCCACAGTCCCAGCCCCATAGTGATTTCAGCTATGAAGCTCCACAAGCTTTATTTCACTGCCAGTTCAGCTGGCCAGCTCTAAATCTTCCCCGCCACTGCCAGGCAAGTGCCTAGTTCTCAGGGCAGGATCTTCATTATGGCTCCAGCCCCACAGCTGCTCTCCCAACTCTACAGAAATTTCAGCTCCAGCCCCACAGGCCCTGTCCCAGACCTTCAGTGATTTTGCATCCAGCAATCCTACAGCGATTTCAGCTCAAGCCCCACAAACTTTAGTTCACCGCCATCTCTGATGTTTCAGCTCCAGCTCTTTCCCAGCACCACCAGGTGAAAAGGTGTCTGGCTATCAGGGAAGGATCTTCTTTATGGTGGCAGCTGATCAACACTTCAGCTCCCACCCCCACCACCTTTATCCCAACCCTACAGTCCCTATCCCAGTTATAAAATAGCTTTGTCTGCAGCCCTACCATCTTTGTGTCTCTGCCACCAGCTCTGCTACCTTAGCTCCAGCTCCTCAGCTTCCCACTGCCTCCAGGTAAAAGCTGCTCCTGGCTTTCACTGCACCTCAGGGCTGTTGACAAGACCATGAATCAGTCACTGTCATCCCTCAAATATCTCTATAAGCTGTTACACCCATCCCCAAGGGGTCCCCTGCTTTGGTGGCAAATGAAAGCTAAAGCCCCAGTACACACCTTCCCCTCCACACCCACTCCCTGCACCTGCCACAGTCCCTTCCCAGAAGGAATCAGCTCCTGAAGTGGCCAGTCAGCCCCTGGCTCCCAACCCAAAACGGACCCTGGGGGTGGTTCCGAACAGCCCCGGGATCTGGCATGCGCTCAGTACCACCCTGGGGGCTGGAGGCCCCAAAGCATCTCCCGCAGCCTCTTCCCCACGGGATTTATTTCAGCTCCACATCACTCTGGGGCTGCCTCCAGCCCCAGGGGCTGCATATTAGTGAACACAACTGGTGTTTCATCCTTACAACCTTTATTTAATAGGCATCGTGTACCAAGTAACAGAAAAAAAAAAAAAGTAGTAAAATTACAGTAATGCCATAGCATAATACACTAATAGAATAATAACTAGAAAGCTAAAATAACATTATAAGGTGGTGGTAGTAGAAAATAAAAGTAGAACAAAATAATAATAAAGTGAAACAGCGTGATTACCCTTATTTTTGATATTACTTTAACCTCCGGACCATCACAGGAACACATCCCAGCCCTCTAACTCAGGAGCCTCCCCGCCACCGCTGCCCTACGCCACCGCAAGGCGGAGCAGGCGGGTCAGGGCCGCGACCCCTGGAGTCCTCCAAGGGCAGGATCAGCACCACCGCCCCGGGACAGCGCCCGCCCAGGCCCCGGTGCTGGCTGGCCGGTGCTGGCTGGCCGGTGCTGGCTGGCCGGTGCAAACGGCCGGTGCTGGCTGGCCGGTGCTGGCTGGCCGGTGCTGGCTG